CGCGAAGATTGTAAGTCGATCCCGAGAATTGCCCAGCCTAATCCCTAAAAATCGTTATTTTACATAGGTTCGTGATACCGCGCTAGGGTTGAAATATTTGCACCAGATGGATGAGCCTTGCACCCATGGTTCTCTGAGGGGAGAGAACGTCTTGGTCAAGATGGATGAAGGGATTGAGCAAGGGTGCCTCAACGGGTTCGCATTAACCAAAGTAAGACATACTGGACGAGGAGAAATCGGGTCTAATGTTCATCTTCCTGTAGAAGCAGGTTCGAAATGAGCCCCCAATAGAACTCACTGGCGAAGACGGAATATGTAGGTGGAAGGTGAGTACATACTAGCGACTGTAAAGGAGGCAGCTCAAGTGTCCTCCCATCAGGCACCTGAAATTCTTGATTCACCATCTGCCAACCCTCCGTTGGAGCCTTCCTCTGACATATGGTCGTGGTTAGTATTCCCACCGCTTTCTTGATATCTCCCTCACCCACCAATTTGTGCAGGGCGATGACCGTGCTCCAGCTTTATTCCGGGCTCCTTCCATACTACCAGCACACCAAGAACCAAAAGATCTGCGATGAAATACGGCTAGGTCGAACTCCTAAACGCGAGGATTACCTAGACTTTGACAAATACGCTCCTCTTCCTGACAAAACATGGGCACTCCTTCAGAAATGTTGGAACAAGGAACCGGAGGAGCGACCTACGATTCAAGAAGTTGTCGATGAACTTGATGCGATTAATGTCGAAGTCAGTGCTGGTTCGGATTAAACCCCGCCGCCGCATTTTGATTCTCTTTCCTTGCATATATGCGCTCTCAATTTTCAGATACCTGTATGCTAAAACCTCATTGTGTCTGTACCCCATCCAAAATAAATACCATCATAATGATTCTATTAGCTTTTTGCGTAACCGGTATACTCAGGAGTTAATTCGCCTGGGAACAACAGCTCTCTCACATCAACATGAGCTTCAATCCGCCCGACACTGGGGACTTGGCTGTATTAATTACATCGCATGATTGATATACACTTGGACTGGTTCGGTGGTTTCATATTATAGTTAATTATAGGCTCTTCAATCCTCTTTGGGTTCAGGTACCGAGACTAACCACGGGAGGGTCACAGCGTTCAAACGACGCAACCACTTTGGAGTACGCAACATTAGCATTACGGTCGGAAATATTACGGCCCATACTAACCAATGCACCGAAACGAGTGGGCTGGTCTTTTCCGTTCCACTTGTCCTCGAGCTTAACAATCCGGTCGTTCTCATCGAGGTCGATGATAACAGTAGAGTTCATAACCTATGTCACGAATTGATATATTCATCAACCGGATTGTAGTTCAAACGCCTCACCTTCTTTGCTCCAATGAATCGGATCGTGTACTCTTGTTGTTGTTCGTAGACAATACGACGCGGGTCAGTGGTCGAGGAAGTGACCTTGTACGATAGAGTGCGAGAGGTCGGGAACGCCTTGGGCTATGAATTGATGTCGTTGGTGTTTAAATCTTGGGAACCCCGGCTATACAACAACTTACCATGCTATACCATTGAGGAGCGTACTGATTATACCCAATGCATTTACTCAGTGGGTCCTAATTAAGATCAATTTCTTAGTTTGTCTAACCTAAATAGAGTACGATGGACAAACCTCAAAGACAGCATCCTGCCTCCAAGTGCGATGGAAAATGTCTTGATTGGGCTTGGAGCTGAACAGCTATAGACAAAAACGAATCAGTAACCGGCACATCCCATATTTTTGTTACTTGCATTCAGGACGTCCTCCAGAACCTGTTTCCGTTTACCGTCCAACTGAAGCCCCGAGTTTTGTACTTCCACTCCGTTATCAAGACGAGTAACATCGACACCTGAACTCATAGTAGCAGACATGGCGGATAAAACGCTCTGAGGGGCGGAGGTTCGGGTTGTGTGCAGGTTCAAAAGCGGGATGAGTGTGAATACGAGCTGGCGAACACGCATGGTAAGTGAGGGGTACAGACTAGAAAAGCCCGCATTTTATACAGTACACGAGCGGGGCGCCGGGTCATTTGAGGTCATTAGACGTCATGATGGTTGAGCAACGATCGAGAATTGGATGTGGCTGTGCTTCTATCGACGATCATGTCAGATTGGGCGGCTTTTATTTGGTCAGATGAAATAGGGTTGATTGACTCAATGAACGCTCATCCCTAAGCAAGACTGTGCGATGGATTGAATACAACAATTTACGTGGAGTGGTGTATGTGAACATAATAATATACGTGGAAGGAGCGTACGCTGTCCACCGAACGAATCATCTAGAACGTCTATGATTTCTTTTCTCGCTCCTTTGCATCCTTGGGCGGAGTCATTCCCATCCACCCAAGCAAACTTCCGCTCATCTCCTTCATCTGCCTCTCGCGATCCTCCTCCATCATCTTCCTGAACTTTTCCGAGTTCTCGGCCCAATACGCCTGATCCTGCTTGTACAGGTCTTGGTACTCCTTGCGACGTTGTTCCAGATATGTTAGAGGAGGTTGATCTGCGGGATGTTGTTTCGTGGCACCACCAAGGCCAAACAATCCGCCAATGGCCATGTTGCCACTTGCGCCCCCGCTCTTGCGTTTCTTCTCCCACTCTTCAATGACTTTACGTTTCTGCTCTGCTTCGACGGCCGCATATGTTTTGGCGATGTCTTTGCCTTGGTATGCTTTGAGGATCGGGCGTACGTCAGGGGGTGAGTGGATGGCGATCGCTACAACAAAAGTATGGGTTCAGAACGGGCAATATTCGGTTCCAAGTGGACTGACATTCTAAGAAGGGGATCAGGCCAACAAGTCCGGAGGGTTCTCCACTAGATCCGTTTGCGCGCCATTTCGGAATAATGACAGCGTTATCGGGGTTTTCTGAGTATTTTAACGAATCTGTATCAATAGCAATCACTTTCGACAGATCCCGGTTCAAATAGTTCAGGTCCTGTGCAGAGGTCTTAGAATCGGAAATCAAATTAGAGCAAACAAAACCCACCTTGACAAGACCGTCCTTAGTGGTCCGAGTTGCTTCACGGAAGAGCTTGTACATGATAAAGGCCCCGAAAGGGTCAAGTTTCTCAACAACAGGAATAGCGGTCTAGTCGAATTATAAGTGGCTGACAACTGTGAAAGTCGGCAAAGTGACGTACGTAAGCCGCTTGAGTCGTGAAGAGGACGATCTCATAGAATTGAGAGAGATACCCAAGGAAATAGTCGACACCTGGCCTCTTGGCTGTGCGCCATCCATGTTGTCGCTGAAAAGCACAAGTTAATTACTCGTCTAGAAGATAATAGAACTTGCTGGGTAAGAACGTACATCCCAGGTCGACGTAACCAGAAGGTCATCAAGCGAAATGACCAGTGTATATGGTCGCTGGTGTGGCGGAGGAAGCGGAGGAGGCAAAAGCTCAGACCAAGCGGGCTTGTTGAAGTACTAGAAGATAATTATAAGTACCCATCGATTGTCTCGAACCTGAGATTTGACTTACGTTGAACGTGTCGGTTATTCGTGCCTTGGATCGACCGAACAATGATAATTCCTCCTACAGAGATCGTTTAATTGAGACCCGAGCAACAAGATTACCAGCTTACCCCCGCACCGATAGCCTTTTTCTCCTCCTCGCTTTCCCACTCTCTTCCCATATATACAGCTCCGGCAATTACACCCCCAAGTCCAAGCGCAATAGTCCATCTCGCAAATGCCTGACGCTTCTTCTCAATCGTGCTCAAAGAATCCTTGGCTGATCTTGCACCTGTCCTTTCTCCAGTAGGTTTGCCAGAAGGTGTGCCTGGAGGCGGGGGAGCCTCGATGGGGGATATATCGAGAGAAGGAAGACTCCTTGGTTTGAGTGGTTCATCCGTCGAAGTCGGATTAGGAGGTGGTGGAGGTGGTGGCGGTGTGGTTATCTGTCGGATTGGAAGCGCATATGGGAGCCGCCGTTGAAGAAGAGAACGAGCGACTAGACGTGGAACCGCCATTAGGGTGATTTTGGTCGAGGACAAAATCCACAGGTCACGTGAAGCATGACATGCCGCCGGAGATCACTGCCAAATCGAGCCTCCGTGAACGGAACCCAATACTTCTTTCGCCATGTCATGTAGTATCGTATCGAATGACCTATTTTATTCAACCCTCAAGAGAGTCCATGTGAGATCGATTATTCCAATCCTGAAATACCACAAGCGGCTTGCATGATTAATTGCCAATTTGTGTTCAACGCCGCGTTGGCTCAATGGTAGAGCGTCGCCCTCCTACGACGCAGGTCGCGTGACAGGCGAAGGCTGTGGGTTCGATCCCCATGCGTGGTACAGGTTACTTTATGCCGGAGGGCATATCTTTTGTCAGCGATAGTTTCTCGAATCCTTTTCGACCTCGAGTAGAATTTCATCTGACGTTATCCCGTACTGGCCACGAATCTACTGGGATTACCCTGGCGCCAATTCGCCAAGGATTGAGTAAGTCTTCGCGGGAGTGAGCCATACGAGGAGCTGAAAGCTTGGTTAATTCCACCGGTAAGGTCGGTCTGGTAGGATTTATCCCTATACCCCCCATATTGTGTTCGGTCATCGCGGCCCCGTAGGAATAATTCCGTCGTTCATATCATCGGCCAAATATCCCGCTC